CACTGGTGAAGGCAAGCTACAGTTGTAGCCACAGCTGCCCTGGGGCAGACTGACAGAGGCGAGGCTGCCATATCGTGCCATCGGCCCATCACCAGTAGGCGAAGTGTCTTGCCCAAGGACACAACGACCGAGACTGTCTGAGCCGGGGCTCGAACCGGCAACCTTCCAATTACAAGACAAACACCCAACTCTTGAGCCACGATCGCCCCTCTAAGCCCAAGACTAAATGACCCAGGTTTACAGTAAATATAGTGACCTGGACTTTTCCATCAGTTTGTGTGAATTTTATAATCCAGTAGACAGACAGGCAAACAAAAGCCATATTTTTACCCTGAAAAGGAAGTCTTAGGTTAATGTTTTTCTTTTTCAGTGCACTTGCAACCATTTGAAGAATTCTGCTACAGAGAGCTGACAAACGTCTTTTTTTTAAATAAATCATTTAGACAAGAAACTGGTTCAGTCTAGTCCGGGATTAATGCAGAAGATCAGTGCTTAATTAAGCAAACACTTTAGGATCTGAAACTTTAGCTTTTGAGACTTTGGTGTAACATATGCTACTTGCCACCTTGTGTCTTGCTTCCCTTAATATGCCAAATTAGTCTAAAGTAGTTATTCATTCCACACCTACAGTACCAGGCTGCCAAGCCTAAGTTTGCACAAGTGCAGATGTAGGTGTGTGTGGGGGCCTAGAATGAAGAAATAAACATCACTTACTTAAAAATATATGTGACTAATATCTTTAAAATGGTCTAAAAAAAGTGTTTTTAAACTGTCATCTGTGCTAAATATATTTCAGATCAAATACATCTCTCTGGAAACTTGTGGTTTCCGGATTGCATCTTAGCCATCATCTTGTATGAAAGTTAACTTTGAGGAGTCATTTCTGCTTCTTTATTTGCAAGCAGTGACAGTATCAGTCGTGTCAGACAAGTTACCAGCAGATGGCAGCATAATGCCTTCTGGTCTTGGTTCACAGAGGTACAGACTCTGACTGGCTGATTGACATGAACCTGACATGTCCTCTGCTACTCAGTCGCCCACACTTAGGGCGGAAGCAATCACGGCTCCCTCTAAAGTGCAATGAAAGTAAAATCCCTCCATTTTTACTGCACATTCAAGAGAAGGGCAGCTGTCCCGAGGGTTGTCATTTTCTAGTTTGTGAGTGGGTGGCTGTCGGCTGCGGTTTGTCACACAGTGGACCTTGAGGAACAACCAGGGATGTGATGGTCCACTCCTTTGGACCCAGACAAGGGAGGAGAACATGCATCCACGGGGCCAAAAGGCCCTGTGGTCACGCATTCCTAAACTCCTCCAGCACTGCCTACAGCCACGACTAAAATATCAGATCCAGTCATGCAAACACTGCGGTCACAACATAACGCTTCCATTCACACATATATACATGCTTATATTATATTTATTCCGGTGCTACTAATGACAGGTTGAGCACACCCCTGCATTCTCTTAAAATGCCGAAGTTAATCCTGAAACGACAGTCACGTTTCTCTGGCACATCTACACGTATACATCCGTTTATAACTGTAGGAAATGTTTAGAATATATGCTGCTACAGTTAAAATTACCACGTCTAAATCCTATATGTTCCCAAACAAAGTCACATGACCGCTAAAGAGGGAAAGACTGTTACATAAACTAAAGTAAAAGTAGAAATATCCTGTTAGTGAGTTTAGTGGCAGTTATATGGGTTTATATTGTTAAGCTATGTGATGATAATTTGTCTTTAAAAAAGGTAATACTGCACATTTGTCCATGTTTTAGTGGTGTACAGTCTGTGAATTAATCTCAAGGTTAAAATGTCAAAAAAGTAAAACATAAAGATAATTATTTTGCATTTTAGACTGCAGTTATAGTCGCTCTAATTCATAACAAACCCTGTAACAAAGCCCAAACTGAGTAACTATTTTACAGCAGTTGGCTCTATGCATGAAAGACATGAGTAACGAGGTCCAGAGGGACAAGGGGAATTTGGGGTAACTGTTTCTCTAATTTACTTATGCAAATTAATCCTTGTTAGATGTAATTTGTGGATTATGTAACATATTTAAAAAATTCATAAAGATTGTTTTTTTTCTTTCTCTGGCAACACTAGGCAGCATTACTAGGCTATTTTGGACCAAGGCATCCAGTTGGGTTTACTAGCCTAGTTGGCATCCGTGAGGTCATCAGTGGTCTTAATTTCAGCTTGTTTGTTGGAAGTGGTCAGGAGGCAGTCCCCCCCCCCCCTCAACCACTGATGTGAATGCCATCATTATGCGCTCTATAGCATCTCAGAGTGGTAGTTTGTGTGGGGCTCTCTGAGCCCTGCACCCATGCCCCTGTATG